GGCGGGATGCGGGCCAGGGCCAGAACATTCGCTTAGAAGGTCACTAGAGGCTGAAATGAGGCACACATCTAACTGAAGAATGTGCGATTACGATCACGTTATTTTTAAATACTAAATCATTTTAGATTCCGGACCAAATAGAACTATTCAGAAAATACCATCTGATACTTTATTAAAAGATAAAACCATTTCAAGTGGAAAAGGAGATACCTTCCGGTGGTTTATTTTCCCTTCCAAAAGCAGAGGCTGTGAGTCTGTGTGTGTTGGTACTACCACAGAACATGTCAATGGGCTTATGACTTGAGGCCGGCCGTATGCACAACCAGATTCCTTACATGTTAAGTGCTATGTTACATAGTAAGTTATCTAGTAACAGACGTAGCTGTGATAACAGGACTGTTAAATAATACTTCTTTAAAAATGTTAGCATATTTTCTTTTTAAAAAACTGAACAGGATATTGAAAGTTCTAGCCGAAGCACACAGATAGCCAATCCCAAGGAAAGCATAACTGTTTCTGCTGTAGCATGATGTCTATGTTCCTGAAGTCTCAGTTCGGAAAAACTACACACTAAAAATGACATGGTTTATGGGGAAATCGGTGTTGGGGAAAACCAGCCCAAGCCCGTGCCGCTTTATAACCAGCGCGAGAACCGGTCCAGCTGGGGGAACGCTGACGGCCCAGCTGCCCCTGGAGGTGGTTTCTGTGGGTGCGAAAGATGCACAGAAGCACCTGAGCAGCAGCACTGGTTTGCGGGGCCTGGGACAGTGCAGATGGAGCCGGACCACGGCACGCAGGAAGGGTGCGCTCGGCTCAGGGGTGAGTGGCCGTGTCCAGGAGCGTCAGAATGGATGGACAGGCTGCACGGCAGGAGCCGAGCGCAGGGCCTGTCCCTTCTCGCTGAAGGTCACAATTCCACTGCCATCACTCTGGCACCTGACCCTGAAGCACATGTGTGACAACTGATGTCACCCCACTCAGCAGCTGCACAGGGACGAGTCCGCTCGCGCACACCAGGGGTGAGGGGCCGTGTCCAGGAGCGTCAGAATGGATGGACAGGCTGCACGGCAGGAGCCGAGCGCAGGGCCTGTCCCTTCTCGCTGAAGGTCACAATTCCACTGCCATCACTCTGGCACCTGACCCTGAAGCACATGTGTGACAACTGATGTCACCCCACTCAGCAGCTGCACAGGGACGAGTCCGCTTTACACAATTGCCCTGGACCGGCCACGTGCAGAAGTGACGAGGAAGCCGCCCAGACCGGGCACGTGACTCTGAACCCCTCCCCCGTGGCGAGGGCTTGCGGGGGCGGCAGGAGAGGGGCTGGGTGTCCTGCGTGTCCCCCAGAGCGTAGCGGGGTGGGCTAGGCGACAGGACCTGTGTCTAGCTGCTGTCTGGACACTCGGAAGGCAGATGCGGGCTGCCTGCCCCTGGTGGCAGCAGAGACGTGCTGCTTGGGCACAGCCTGCGCTCGCCAAGTATTGGAGGCACAAGGTCCGTTCAGTTCTGTCCTGCTCAGGAGAACCGCAGGGAGGGCGTGAGGACTCGCGCAGGACGGCGGGCTTGCCCGGTGCCGAGGAAGGAGCCGCACGGTGTCAGGTGGGGCGGAGACGGCCCCTCGCGTCGGGGACGGCTGCTGGAGAAGCCCTAGCAAGGGCATGCGGCCGGGGTCGCGACATCGCCCAGCAGAGAACGTGGCTTCAGCACCCACCAGGCACCACGGGGACCCCGAGAGGCACCAGCATGTAGAGAATGCCCTCGCCTGTCTCGCCCACTCTCGCTTCTGTTCAAGTCTGCAGGGGACGAAGCTGCGTGGGGGACTTGGGGGTACGCAGGAGTTAGAAGAAACGCAAGGTAGGGGTGGAAGAAGCCACCAGGCAGTGAGGGGACACCCCCAAACTCAATCAAGGTCACGGTCTGATTACTGCACAGAACTGGACATTTCGGTTTCTAAACGGAGATTGTATGCTGTGTGTCGAGAGCGGAAGTAACTGGAGAAAGTGACCGGAAGAGCCAGGCCACCCGAGTTCTCTCTAGGGCTCGGGGGACAGCTGACTCCACGTGGGGACCGTGGAGAATGTGGATGAAATTGCTCTGCGATTGTCCACTGAGTGCTGTGCTCGTGCGGCTTGACAGCTGAGCTGTCGCGTTTCCTCGTGATAGCGGTGACACATGCAGGCAGCAGATAAGGCGAACAACGGACAAACCCAAGTAAAGTAAAAGCATTAATGGTCTAGACGAAGACGACGTCACCTGAATCGTACTTCCCTGGGCGTGAATGTGTCTAGCACAGTGCACACTGCTAAAGGCTCCCCTGACTGAGCTGCTGAATGGCTCTCTGCCTAGACAGCTTGTTGGTGGCAGGAGCTTCCCCGGGGGGCAGGGGCGGGGGGGGCACTGCTGGGAAAGTGAGCCTGAGCACTGGACTGACGACTGTGGGCGACGGCCCCTCCCCGTGACGCAGAGCTAAGCGAGCATGGAACAGCAGTCTCGGGTCCGATTTGCAGTAACTTGGAATAAGCGGGTGGAAGCGAGTAACCAAATGTCCCGTATCCGGTGGCACAGGGCCCGCGGGCTGTCGGGGGAGAGGGGGGCGAGGCTGTGAGGGCCTCGGTGTTCGGGCCTCGGTGTTCGGGCTTTGCCTTCCTCACCCGAAAAGGAATGGAGCGCGCTCGACAATTATGACGCGGGGCGCAAGTCCAAGACTGAAACGTGCGGCTGGATTTGCAAAGGCCCCTGAGCCCGGGGCGCGGCGGGGTGCTTACCGGGCTGTTGAGGACCATCAGGCACTGGTCGAAGTGGTGGTGCTCCAGGGTGGAGTGGCAGTAGAGCTGAGCCAGCGGGTGCTCGCTTCTGACGGCACAGGGCGCGCGGGCGAGGGGGGAGGAAAGGAGAGAGTCACCGTCTGCACAACATGCCGGTTACCGAGTTCTTTCGGTTTAACTGAAAAAGAGTCTATTCCACAAAGTTCATCAGACCAACCATTTTCTCTCCTTTTGCTGAGAAAGGGGCAAGGTAATCTCTGGGGAGTAAGGAGAAAGAGTCAAATCGGCCAACGTAACTGCTGCCGGTTCAGCGAGTGAACAATCTTACCGATTTTAATGTGGATTCAAGTCATAGGAGAAATGAGGACAAAAGACTAATTTCTCTAAATGCGAAAAAAAAATCTCTGCAATGGTTGCGCCAATAACATCTTTCAATTGCAAAACTGTCATTAGTTTAAAATCAGCAGCGCGTCCGGCGCCGGCCCTCCCTGCGGAAGGAGGCTGCAGCAGGCGCCCCCTTCGCCTTCATCTGGGAACACAGCCGCCCGGACGGACGGACGGGGCCGAGGTCTGAGCGGTGACAGGCGAGGCGACGGCACAGTCCGCACGTCCCCCTTGGAGGGACGGAGGAGGTGGCCGAGTCAGAGAGAGCCCCCCACGTGGCGGGGGGGGGGTGTCCCAGTAGCTCGCTCTGTAAACTTGGGGAGAATAGTGGAGACTGGCTGAGTGAAGCGGGGGCCGGGGGACTGTACTCAGCCCAGTGCACGGAACGGTCACGAGCCACTTCCCAAAGCACAAGCGCAGACCTCCGCCCAGATGTCTCATGACCCCCTCGCCTGTGAAGAAGAAGCAATTTCCACGACTTCCTCTCTAACAGAGAAAGTTCTGGAAAGTCTCCGTCCCTAAACTTACAGGACAGGCATTTATGAATGGAGCACCAGTGTTAGATAATGCAGCTGATTTGTTCTTTACTCCACTACGTGAATCATCATTTCACTCTGCATTTAATTTGCAGGAGAGAGAAGTTACCCAAGACTGAAGAAACTTAACAGGAAAAAGGGAGCAGAGTGAAAAAAGCTTGAGGGAAAACAGAAGCAGTCAGACGGAGGTGCGCAGAGGGAACGGCACCAGTCCCGGGGTTCACCCCGCCCTGTTCTGTCACCTTCCCCAGCGGTGACCCCGCCTGCCGTCTCCGTGGGCTGTCCCATGGCTCAGGTGCTGGACACTGGGAAAGCAACGGATGGACTAAAACGAGCAGATCTGTGAAAACAGACGCACTCGCTGCTTCAAGACCGGAGACGCGCGGGGTCCCTTAGGGGCGACTGAGTTGGGCGACGGCTGGGAAACTGTTCCAGCACCCCAGCCGAGCGGTGGAACCCCAGGGGCAGAAGCAGGGTGAGCCGAGAGCATCTGAGGGGGTCGGAGGGCGGCGGTCACGAGTCCTGATGTCGGGGCTGAGTGGACGCAGGGGGTGGGGACGAGTGAAGGGGCGTGCGATGCTGAGGTTCTGCGTTATTCTCTGACGAGGCTGAGGGGCACGGACGGTGGGGTGCAGGAGGGGCCGGTGCTAGCGGAGCGCTGGATCTGCTGATGTGGTGCTTGAGGTGCACCCGGCTGGGTGAGGCTGGACTCGGGGCTGGGTGGAGCACGTCGCCTTGCAGATGACCACCCACGCCAGGGGAGGTGGGGCCATGCAGGGAGCCGGCCTGTGGTGACAGGGCCTGCAGTGACAGGGCCTGCGGCGAGCATAGCCCTCCCGCTCAGACCAGAGACGCTGAGGCCAACGTCAGCTGACAACCGCAGCCTGACACCCCCCAGGGAACGCTTCCAGAGCTTCTGCTGTGCACTCATTAACTCGAGGTCACAGAACTAGTCCACTCTATGCTGCCAGGTGCTGGCTGCGACCCTGGCGGCCGGAGGTAACAGTCGCCGTTCAGCGAGGGCAGGGCTCTCGGTGTGAGTGTAATTTCTGCACACGCTGCAGCACACGCCCGTCCGTGTCACGGCCCTCGGCCCCAGCTCTGGCCCTGGCCCCATGAGTTCTCCCCGCCTCCCGTAGGTGCCAGCTGAGGGCCCATGGCTGCGGGTGCCGCTCACGCCTGCCCCTCCACCGCGCCCGGGGTCTCTGCACTCACGGAGTGTGGGGAGGCGAGGCCCACGCAGGCTGCAGGAGACCAAGGGGTCAGGGAGTTGACGGACAGCTGCCCCCCGGCCCCGCCTCTTTGTCCCTCCACAAACACGCTGGGTCTGATTTCATGAGACTTCTCCAAAGCACCAGGGAGGCTGGCTCGCCCCTGCTGCTCCCCTCCCAGAGTCCCAGTCTGGGGGGCCGCATTCTTGCTCTGGGGATCTGGGCTCAAATAAGCCACATGCGCGTCAGCTCTCGTCCCAGGCTGAGCCCGCGGGTGACCCGAGCTGAGATGGCTCTAAAATTGGCATCTTAGCATTTGCTTTTCGGACGTCGGAAAGTTCATGGAGACGGGCTCATTCAGGGTCAGGACAGAAGGCAGAGCCGCAGGCACCGTCCCGCGTGCCATCGGCTCATGGCCACAGCGCCCCGCACACGGCACCCACTGGACCGGAAGAGCAACCAGGCGGGCCCAGCACAAACCGTTCAGGGCTCTGGACGCACATGTCGTTACGCCGTGCAGAACGGGAGTCGCATGTCAGAGAACCCTGTGTGAACTTGGCCTTGCATCTAAAAATGGGTTTATGGATCCGTATGACGAGGCGAAGGCCCCAAACTTCGCGCTTACAGGGAGTCGTGGAAACGGGTGACGCTGTGTGCTCAGGACTCCCGGCCCGGCTCTGCCGCACGCGCTGCTCTGGGCTCCCGGGACCCTCTGATGCTCCCCCGCAGTCATCGCAGCCGCCTTCCGGGCGTCAGGCCTTCCCACCGTCCTAGTCTCCGCGGTCACACCGATGGCGCAGGTGCTCAAGCTGACGGCTCGGCTGGCCTCTGACCCGTCCTTGACCTCGACTGTAGTAGCTTTCTCTTCTCACATTAGACGTGGGGTCCCCCCTTTGTTCCACAGCCACTAGCTGCCACCAGGCAGTGTGTCTGCCACCCGACACATCGGGCGACAGAGCGAGACCCTGGGCTCATTCAGGGTCAGGACACATCGGGCGACAGAGCGAGACCCTGAGCTCCTGCCTGACCCTGACAGCACCCCCTGCGGGAGCAGCTGAGACCTGCTGAGCAGTTAACACGCCACACGTGTTTACGCTCCTTTAATCTATCTCCATCCATCGCACAGAGAAAGAGGGACAGGGAGGGGGTCAGCTGACTGCCCAAGGTCACAGGGCGAGGGGAGGAGGCAGCGTGGGCACTGCCACCCAGGCGTCTGACCTGGCCACCATGACCATCAGAGCCCGTCTCAGCTCCAGACACACAGACAGGGCCACGCTGAGCGCTGACCTCGGGACTACGGACCTCGCACGTGTCCCCGTCCACACCTGCCATTCTTTTTACGTGAAGTTTTCTGTTTATTTAGATAAAGCGAATGTGATTAGAAAGCTTTCTGAAATTCCCTCAGGATACCGCGCATCTGGAATTCCCTGAAGAGATCGGCCCAGTAGCTGCATCACTCGCATACTTGAAAGTGACGCTTAGTACTAAGAGATTTTGTCATGAAAATGTACAAGGCTTTTTGATAAGTTGCTGCAAGAAAATAAAACTATCTCAGTGGCTCAAAAATTTGATGAAAAGTGATATCACCTCTATCGTCTCATTTGCCACTGCAAATGTCACTTAAGTAAGACCTGTAAGGGAGCCCAAAATGCTTATCTGAAGATTTAGTATCATACTCTCAAAAATCAACCAAAAAGGAGGCTAGTGATGACACAGGGCTGTCACAAGCTTCTGCTCTGAGATGTACTGAACGCTCAAGAATGGAAGAATCATCATA